ATTTATAAATGGTCTACCCTATTAGGGATGATGAGTTCCAAAATGGCATATATATGCATATATCACTAGTTTACTTTTGGGGAGGAAAATAAGAAAATAGCAAGTTGTTAGAAATGGAGGCTTTCACATAGTCTCTGGACTTCCCTGATCTTCCTGCTAGTCTTCTGAGTCTCGTAATGATTTTTTAATTTTTTTAAAAAAATCATGACTATATGTCTGTCAGCACTATGAGTTCCTCATTGAAACATAATAGCAAGTCAGCCTCTAGGGAGGATTTAAAAGGTAGGACATTTTGTTTACTGTGCTTAGTGTTAATATGATCTATAGGTGTGTTCAGGGAGTCTAAAATATGCATGCTGAATAATATCACCGTAAAAAGATTGACTTACGAGTTTGAAATGTGGATTTTTTTTTCAGGACTTGGACTTTTATCTTCTTATAAGCAGTTTAATATATAGTATTAGAATAACTAAATTTTTTTATGTTTAAAAAATTTTGTGCTAAACTATTATTTGGCTTGTCTAATGTCATATAATAAGAGGTAACTCTTCCTGGATTATAGGAAGGAACACAGAAGAAGAAGAAGCTATGATGCAGGAATGGTTTATGTTAGTTAATAAGAAAAATGCCTTAATAAGGAGAATGAATCAGCTCTCTCTTCTGTAAGTACTCATGATTATGCTTGCTTTGCATACAACATTGATAAATCTTAGCCTTCTTGTTATTGTCTTCTTTGGGATTTCATGTTTGTTCGGTATTTCCCCTTTCCTTAGAGATTACATGTTTTATTAAAAAATTAAAAATAGTATATGACAATTTTCATCTTATAAGAATTTTTAAATAGAATGATAGACACTGAGAAAAGTATATATAAAAGGCCAAGGAATATAGACAATTATCACTTATACAAAAAAAGGAAGTTCAGTTTATATTGAGGGTTAGAGGGGAAGAAAAATAAAGTTCATTCAACAAATTCTCAGTTAAATAAAATAACTCTTAATAAGAACAAAAGTACATTTATAGTCTCAGGTGATGTTAATCTAAATTTTGGGATAAAAGATCAGTTACTAAAACAAAAGTGACCTTTTTGTGATTATAAGAATTATAGTAAAATGGAGTCTAGACAAAATGTTAGCATTCTTAGTTTTTAGCATTTTAGTTAACTGGAGGACTTAAGCTTGTTCCTTTCTCCTCACTAGCAGTATTCTAGTATGCCACCTAGTGTGGGAATGAGCAGGCTTACGTGGTTTATTTCAGTGAAAAAGTTTAATTTTATAATTTCTGCCATGCCTGAACTTGATAAAAGTTATGAAGAAGCACAAAAATTCACAAATCCTGAATTGTGGTCTCTGTATTAAATTTGCACTGCTGGTACTTTCATGTTTCTTGTATTCTTTTCATACGGAGTTTTGGGAAAAAAGTGATTATAAATTATGAAAAATATTTTAGAAAATAGCCTCATACTTGGCATTTAACACAAGAAGCAAAGAGAGTAATTATCCTCGTATTAAAATATACCTGTGTGCATTCAAAATTGAAGGAGGAAAATAATAGTACTAGTAAATATTCAACTGAGGAAGGTTTTAGGGTTTGTGTATCATTTGTTTGGAGTGGCTTAAAGTTAAAGAGAAAAGTCAGTTATGAGTCCTAAAATCAATGTAACCTAAAGGTTCTTTTAAGTGTTTAATGATTTAGTAATTAGCATATTGATGAACTTTTGCAACTTGCCCAGGGAAAAAGAGCATGATTTAGAACGACGGTATGAGCTGCTGAACCGGGAATTGCGAGCAATGCTAGCCATTGAAGGTAAGAAATGCTTTGGTAGAGTGAAGTATGCAAGATGCGAGTTGTCAAAGAGATTTAAAGCATGTAATACACTTCTGGTGTTACTAGATCTGGTGTAGGAACTTTCCAGAATTGCAAATAAATGCCTTGGAGGCAGAAAGCAGTATCCATATAAACTTAAGGACCGTAATTCAGATAGATAATCATTATGTGTGCTATTAATAATAGCACAAAATTATCTTAACTTCTGATTAAGCGTACATGTCCATAAAATGGAAAATATAAGGAGTTGATTGATTTAATTACATTTCACTTAAGTACAATTTTAAGTTGTTTCCACTGGGGAGGTTTGGAAAAGATTTATCATTTTGATTTTTTACATCCAGACTCTAAATTTTACCTTAATATTTAATTGATGTCAACATTGAAATATATCCCTGTTCAGTCTACTACAGTTCTTAAGATTCCAACTTCTATTAAGTGAATATCCGGGCAAAGATTGGCATAAGAGGTAAATGAAACACTTTCGTGCTTTTCATAAAGCTTTTAAATGAATTATATAGTAATCCTATGCATGTTTCATATCAGTAAACATCAGCTAGCTTAACTGGCATTTACTATATATGATTTCTTTAAATTCTTAGGTGTTTTATAATGCTGTTCTCCTTATATCTCTCAGTTGAAAATGTCTTATAGTTCAAAGATGTCTGCTTAAAAGCTAATCCTTTCGGCTCTGTAAAATGGACCTTTTGTCTAATCAATGCAAACTGATTTTCCTATTCTATATTGACCTTTTAACCCATTGACTGTCCATGGTAATTTTGGTCTTCACCTGATAAGGTACCTGATCCATAATAAGTCAATTCTAATTAGTTCAGAAACTGGAAATTTAAGTACATAAGGAAAGCCAAGTGAAGCCTTATATTCTTAAAATATTTTAATAACTATTGTCATCAAAATGCATGCTGTTTATCTAAATACCATCATACATGTTTGTAGACGTTTCATTTTTAATTACTTTTGTATTCATAAACTCGTTTGATAAATATCACCAGCAACATTGATATATCCTCATTTAGAAATCTGATTTACTTTATTTTAAAAGGCTTCAGTTAGCCAATTCTCTTCAAGTGTCTACCCAGATGTATCAAATTATACCATTGATAATGACTATAAAATTTGTCAAAATTATTCAAGAAGTTCCGTGAAACTTCCCATTGAAATAAAGTACACAGGTATACTAAATGGTATTTTTCCTCTCAATATAGTTTTTGTAGTCATGGTATAGTCTTTAAAAGCGCAAAACAGTTAAAAAGTAGGCACAGGAAATACTATTTATAATATGTGTGTGTGTAATATGTAATGTTTATATATAATATATGTAATACATATAATTCATCATACAGTTTATTCTTTATAGATTCATTGTATACTATACTCAACACAATATTCTTTACATTTTTACCTACCCTTTCATGTATAGAAAGATAAACTATCCACAAAATACAGCTTGATACAATACTGTTGACTTTTAAGATAGATATTGATTCTAACACCAAAACCAGTATTATAACCAAATACCCATCTTAGAAACAGGGTTATGACACATTTAAAAATTCAGTTTCATCACCAATCCTATCCCTATATGCCAGATTTACAACATTAAATAATCTAATATTTTATCTGCCTGATCTGCTTGCACATACAGAAAAGCAGTAGAAAGTCATATATTTGAAGAAAAGGGGAAAAATATTTTTCTTTTTAAAACAGTTTTAATACAGTCGTTAGTGTTTTGTGTAATCATTCTCTTTGTTTTTTAAATACATTGTCCTGTATATGACTGTGCCTTAAATCTCTGGGCCAATTTTCATTGCTGATTGAGGGAAAAAGGAGACTTGAGAAAAGGAGCAGCCTATTGATTACAAATAAAGATATTGTCTTAAGAGAGAGGCCTGTCCCACTAGCCTGGGCAGTACATGGGCTGGGGTGTCCCAGAGAGGTGGTGATCATTGTGAAGATCAGCTCTGTGAAGACAGTTTCCTCTGAGTCAACCCTTAGAATGGACACACATTCAGTTCAATAGCCTTTTCGAATATTAAAACACCACAGGGGGGAAAAAAAAACATGAATAAGCAACACTGGTTGGTTTTGTTTTGCTTTCTTCTGTTTTAAAGTTCATTTCTCTTTTCCCATCTCTCCTACTTAGTAGCCTTAAGGTGATTTTAGTAATAAATAAACTAAAATAAATCAGCTGCTGAAACCATTCACCAGGAGAACAGCATAGAATCTTAATAACCATAGCACAATGAAAGAAATATTAATAGCTTGGTTTGAGAGCAAAAATATATATATATATATTCAATACATTCATTCTTCTGAGAACTATAATCACTTTGGCCTGTTTTTTACCCTTTTTTCCTGAGGTGTTTGTTTTTCATAGCAGGAGTTTCACTCTACTGAGCTAAGTTGTAGGATCCCTCAAGCTAACAAACATCTTTTAGATACTTTTCCTAAAGTTTTTTTGTTCCAGATTATTTAATGCCCCCTCAGGAAAGATAAATTCATTTCTGCACACATTGGGGTGGGCTTTTAGAAAGTGGTATGTTCATTTTCTGCACAAGAAATGGATCTTCTCTAGGATTTTGTACATCTTGATTTATTCTTGGCTTAGAGTTTGAAGTGGGTGCTCTTCTAAAGGGATTTATGCATAGGTTCACTATTTTTGTAGTTATGGTTTATATGATAAGCTTTTTATATTTAAAATCAATATGTAATCCTGTGGAGGAGCTTATCCCCTAAAACCCCATTTGTAAATCTATTTTAGCTTTGTTACACAGCACAGCCACAGTCTTCCATAGATTGATTAGGTACAGCGGTAGAATCCTATCAAATGGCCTGTTCTGATGATGATGCAAACTCTTTCAGGATTGCTAGTTGACTGGAACTAAAGATAAGACTTGACTGCAATCCCCCAACGTGCTCTTTACAAAACTAGTGTTAATTTTCATCAAAGTGCCAGGCTTATTTATAGTGGCAAGGTTGAAGGTTTACTATAAGAACTTTAGGTTCTTTCTCTTAAAGTGTTTATAGGTATTCCTTCTTGCCTTTTTTCAAGGTAATTATCAACTTCAGCAAATAAACTGAATCAGGGAGTGAATAATTGGCCCTATATATAAAAAAGAGTTTTTAAAAGTAACAAAACAGCTCAGTGCAGATGGACATAAACAAAATCTCTTTATTTCAACACTTTGGCTCAAATGCAGCATCAAAACTTAATCCTATTTGTTACGAGAGGATATGGCTTTTGTAGCAAAAGTACACTGGAATCTTTAAATTAATCAGAACCCCGATTGTAGTTTGTCCAAGCCAAGTCAGTGCAGCTAGCTAGCTGTGACTAGTATTATAGGTGAGTAATTTGTTCTTAAAATGCATAACAGGTAACACGTAAACTTACATGCAAGTTTTTAAAACATAACATTTCTAAGTGAAGCTTTTTAAAACAGGATTTTTTAAAAATTTAGGCTTGAACATGCAAATATGAATCTTGATCAGTTTTAAATATGATATTACATTTAAAAAAATAAAAATAGTTTAATTTCTCAAATTAGCATTCAAATATATATGTATATGTATACACATGTATGAGTTTGTATACATGCATATTATATAATTTATTCCCATTACGAGATAACAGACATGAAGTAAAAGTACAGTTTTGCTAATGTAAAATCTATTCACTGCACATTGCTATTTACATATAGTTGACTAATATTTTGTAGACAGATATTAATGTAGCACTATAATGACAGATTTAATATATTAAAGTCTCTAAATTTTTGCTGGGATATTTTAAATTCTAATGTCATTTGAATTTGACTCTGAAATGATGAAAATTTCCTAAATATTCTTAATTTTTAAATGATTTCACTACAGTTATAGAAAATGTCATTATTGAGCTAGGGAAAAGTTAAGATTTTAAATTACTCAGTACTTCAAGGGTTAAAATTTTCTTTAATGTCGTCTTTTATCCATTTTGTTAAAGTCCTAATTTTTTCAATATTAATGAAATCGTGATATTTGTAATTACTAATTAAAGCCTTAAAAGTGACTAGTCAAGTTCAGAGAAGGAATAATTAAGAAAATTATATGTGTTGTTAAAATTTATCTTTTCTTGGTTTAATTTTTTTAAATATAATTTTCAGTTTAATTCTATTTTTGAAAATTTATTATTCATTTGTAAAGCTCTTAGCAAAATGTTTTGGAAGTAAATAATTATAAATCAAAGCTTATAATCAGAATGATTTCTTGAGGTTGAAAAGGGAAAAATTAATATTCATTAAACTAGTAATCTTAATTATAAAAATTAGTTTCAAATCTATTACACATTTAGATTTCTTCTGAATTAATATTTCTAGAATTATACTTACCTGAAATTAGACTAGATGACTTTTTAAGATCTTTCCAACCTGGAGAGCCTATTAATTTACCTGCTGAATAAGACTGATTTAAGAATGAGAACCAGATTAAAAAATTTTCCAGTATTCCTGTCCTCAGTTGCATTTAAATCCAGAGAATAAAATTGTTACATATATATAGCTGCTCTTCAGTTTTGCTGTTTATTATTTTTAAAATTCTTCTATTCAAAGAAACCTTTTCCAAATAGTTTCTGTATTCATCTCCATGCGATAGAATATTTCATTTAAAAAATAAGAACGTAATAGTGATAGGTTATTTAATGTATTTGTGCGATATTTTATATCAAGTGTGGATAATTAACATATAGCATGTTTCATATAAATATGGATTTATGTGTTAGAGCTTATAATGAAAGAAATAGTGATAAATTGAGTAAAACATTCTAGCTTTTTGCTGCTTTTCTAACCTTTATTGCATGATGATGCATCTAATTTTTAATTTGTAAATACAAGATAGAATTCCCTCTAGCACCATTTGCTTTCATAAAGCTGCTGAGCAGTTTGCTGTCTTGAATAAATTTTGCTTTGGAGGGGGTCGGGGGGATTTGAACCAGCACATTCTTGTGTGGTTTGTGAAGATTCACATGGTAACCAGCGGTGTGCATTGTTAGGTTTATCTGAATAAGCACCAGCCATGTGAGTTTTAACATGATTGCCCAGGGCAATGGAGAGAGAAGAGAGAAACCCGAAAGGATTGCACTTCTCTGTTTTGGAAAGTGCATTTGCTGGGGGAGGGGGCTGCAGGAGTCAGTGGCCATGGTCCTTTTTTTTTTTTTTTTTTTTTTTTAAGCTGGTGTCCTGTTTCCCTCTAGGTCCTCATTTGTTCTGCTATCTGCCTCATCATCTACTTCTTCTTTTCATTGTTTACCTTCCTAATGAGGGAGGCGGGGTAGACTGGGGGTTGATTGACAGCTACAAGCCCTTACAGTCTGGCCAGAGAGCAGTTGGCTTTGGTTTCAAAAGTGTTTTAAATGTTCGATTTGGTCCTGTTTTTATTAAATGAAACTGCTGCTCATCTTAAGGAAATCATCAGACCAACGAAGATTAGGAAATACATCACTGGGGTCTAAAACCTTCAGAAAAACACCCGCCATCCATAGAAAGAGCACTGCCCATCGGGTTTTCCAACCTTTAACATAGGGTTTCAAAAAGAAATATGTAATTTTTCCTTTGCAAAAGTGCTTTGATTTGAAACCACCCAGCAAACGTCTCCAAAAGAAAACTGGCTGTGATGAGATCGAGAGCTGCAGTGTAATATTGCAGAGCAAATTTATTTTTTACTTCAAAGAAAAATGCTAATTAGCCGATTCACTACTTTTAAAGTTATTGTGAAGCATATGGCGCCCAGTGTGAGATACATCCAACTGCTAAAATAGAGCGAAGAGGAAATTAGCGAAGAATGGGCTGTTTGGGGTGAGAGTGGGGGTGGGGGAGGAGGATAGGTTCTCAGGCAGATTCTCTAGCCTTTTCAGAATGATTTTATCGCCCAGCACCGTTTCCCGCCTCCTCATTTACCCACTTCCCCCACTATCAACCCCTGGGCCAACCTCTTCTGGGCCTCTAGCTCCCCTCCCCCACTTTGGCTGGATTCAGGTGCGCACCTCAGGCTAGCCACCGGCTCACACCTGGTTCTGAGCAGGTTCCAACCCTGCCGCAGTCGTCTCCATTCGCAGGAAATATTTAGAAAGTAGAGTTTTAGCGAGGAAACCTTCACCACGACAGCCAAACTCCCAGAAAACACTAGCTAGTGGCTCTATAATGTGGTTTGCCGAGAAATATAAGGAAACTGGAAAAGGCGGGAAGGGGAGGGTAGGGGGCCGGGTGTTCGGAGGCCCTGCCGGTGGGTAACTAGCCTCCCATCTTCTGCAGACTGGCAGAAGACCGAGGCCCAGAAGCGACGCGAGCAGCTTCTGCTAGATGAATTGGTGGCCCTGGTGAACAAGCGCGATGCGCTCGTCAGGGACCTGGACGCACAGGAGAAGCAGTGAGTGGGCAGTGGGGTCGGGTCGAGGCTGGGCCACCTGCCGAGGGGCCGAGAAATGTGCGAAAAGTTCAATTCAGAGGTCGCAGGAGGGCCAGGACAGCTTCCTGCTGGCCTGGTGCTCCCCATTCCCGCTGGGGATCCAAATACTGGGTGACGGAGGAGTGCTGCTCTGCCCTCCATGTAGAAAAATAATTTTGTTTCCTGTTTGTCCTGTTTGTCTGACATCCAGGGCCGAAGAAGAAGATGAGCATTTGGAGCGAACTCTGGAGCAAAACAAAGGCAAGATGGCCAAGAAAGAGGAGAAATGTGTTCTTCAGTAGCCATCAGATCAGAAAGAATCTCTCCCAACATTTTAGAGTCTTGGTTCCCAGACCAGAAAAAGTCAGACTCATTGTTGATTTAAAACTTTTAACATTTTGTTTGGCTGGATTGTACTACTTTACCACCACCACCTTTTCCCTCCTTCCTTTCCAAATAATATACAGAACTCCAAAATAGCTTTGTTTAAGGATTTTTTGTGAGTTAACAATTTCCTTGAAATCCTGTGAAATAGATTTGCACAGACACCTTGTGAATGATTGGTATTGGAGGTGTTCAAGAAACTGTTCAAAAAGAACAAAAACACTTCCCTTGTTATTTTCTCTCATTTTTTTATGGGAGGAAAATTTGAAACCTTCTTGTTGGTAATAGCATAATGACAGTGGGAGGGGGTACAAGGGGATAAGAAAAATGTCATTTTTTTTTCCAGTTCTGCCATATGTAACACTTACTCTGTTACCTAAATTTTATAGTTAGATCATATCCAATGTACTTATTAAACTGTGTTCTATTTACCAGTGGAGTTTTTCTGCGGTTGTTTTGTGTTTCACTGTAAGGATAATGTAGTTTCTCTCCTCTGCTTTCCTCAGAGGATGGTCCTTTGACATAGCCAGAAACAAGCCCTGTGGTTTGAAGGTGAGCTGTGAGGATGGGACTAATTGATATGCACCAATTTACAAAGACAGTCTTATCATCTGCGAATACACCATCTTTTTATCTGGATAATTATTTCTTACATCATGCTTGATTCCTACATTTTGTTGGGTCTCAACAGTGGCTCACGAATGCTGTTAATATTTATTCTGTATTGATAAAAAAAAAAAGTCTGTCTTGCCACTACAAGTAAATCCCCCATTTAATATTTTCTTCTTTAGCATAGCACTGTCATTTTTTTTGTGAAAATGGTTATGTTTATTTATTACAATACTGAGTCATATATAAATTTTCAATAAAAGCAGAAACTTTCTTACCTTAAACACGGCTGCTACTTTCTTGCAATGAAAACTTGACATTGGTTTGAGTGAAGTTTGTGTATCCATAAGACTTTTCATGTGGAAAATGGTCCTCTGGAACATAGGGCAGGATATTGGGCTGCATTTGAAGCTGAATAAGTTTACACCATCCCAGAGAGGGCCCTGCTGACACACGAATGTGAATTGAAATGTAATTAGTCATATTCTTAAGCAGTATAAACTATCATCTCTTTTGTAAAGGGGTCATCTCTGCTAAAGATTTGAGGAAATTTGTGATTCCACACCAATGAAAAAATACTAATATCTTGCATTTCCACGTTATTACTTTTAATTGTTACACTTTTGAAGTCATATTAGGGAGAACTGTGTCTTCTGATAACCGGCAAGTCTGTAGGTACTGAAGTACAAGGAAGAGGGTTATTGCTGGGGGGCGGGGAGAATGTGTGCAGGTATGTATGTATGAAATGAGGGAAAGAGAACTTTTAACAAGAAGTTCTAGACTACAGAAAAAAAAAAAACAAAAACTGGCAATTCTCTAGTGGTTTCCTTCACTCCCCCATGGGGGTGTCCAAACAAAGAAAGCTTGTTCAACAAGTCCAGAAACTTAGAGAAAACAGTCCACTAGCATTTATACTTTAGCGTAGATCATATGTATGTACACACAAACAAATTTCGTTCCAAGTATGCAGCCACCTCCGATTGCCAGTCTTTCAAAATGATTTAAAACACACACACACACACACACACACACTTGATGTGGTAGAATTCCTTCATGATAAGAATTTATTTTAAGTTATTGAAAAGTTATTTTAAGTAAATGAAGTCGGTATTTGCCCTCTTCATTCGAGCTGGAGAGCAGAGAGAACTGTGAGAGCTGCTGCTCTCTGGGGAACGCTCTCAGAATCCCGTTCTAACCCCAGGAAAACTCAGCAGATGGAAATCTCCCGCCCCAAGCAGCCTAGGGCTTGGGCGACCAACAGCACCCACCCAGTTTACGCAAGATTCGAGGAACCTTCACTCTCGAGGGGCCTCGCCGAAAAGCAGCTCCTTCGCCCCAAAAGCCTCTCCCAATCAGCCAAGTGATAACCCTTTCCTCGCTCCAGATTGCTAGGATGGTCTGGGACCGCCGGGCGGCCCATCTACCTGCCCCTCCAGCTTCAGTCCCGAGCCTCTCGGGGTTTCAATTTGGGCTGTTCGGTGGCGCCCGAACGCCCCTCAGCGGCGGTGGAGCGTGGACCGCGGCGCCTGGCCGGGTCAGGACCGCGGCAAGGGCGCTGCATCCGGACATCGCTGTGTGGTGCCCAGACGCTGGCTCCCGAGAGCGGGCACGAGCCCTGCACGCCCGGGGGATCCGGAAACTGAAAGCCCGCGCCGCGGGAAAAGAGGCTATGGGTCCGAGGGTCGCAGAGGATCAGGGGCGTTGGCGGCGGGCTTGCTAGGGCACAGTCTGCGGGGGGGTGCAGAACTTCCTTCCCTGGCCAGATCCCTCGGCCTCGGAGCCAACTCCTTCCCCCTGTCCCAAGTGTCCTCCAGAGCCTGGCCGAGCCTGGAGGTCACCTGGATGCTGGATCCAGGTCTCCGGGCCCAGCTCCCTCGCCCTTTCCCGGCCCAGGGGCCTTGAGCTGGACGGCTTCACCTCCTCCAGTGGTGGCCCCACTTCCCCTCGCCGCGCTGCGGCCGAAATTGGAACGGTCGTGGCTTCTGGCCCAGCGTCTCCCACCTGGACATTTGCCTAGCGACGGCCGCCTCAATCTTCTGCGCCGCTTTCAAGAAACTTTCGTCCCAGTCTCTCTCCCTCTCCCCCTCTCCTCTCGCTTTCTTTTCTTAATCCTGGGGTTTTATGGGCTGAGCATTAAGAAAATTCGCCTGCAATTTGGGATTAGATAAATACTCTCATTAGGAAAAAAAAAAAATCCGTGCTACTTGATACCTCCCGACTTCCCCGAGAATGGTGGCAGCATCTGGAACCGAGAGCGCCGGACTCCCGCGAGGCGTGCCCTGGGGACCGCGCCGGCACATTCCAGCGCGCGCGGCTGTCCCACCTCGCTGCGCGGGACCCTTGTCGGGTGCTGAGGCTGCAAGCGAAACAGGGCCTGGTGGAGGGAGGAATGCGTAAGGTGGAGGAATGGGGAAAGGGCACCAGCCCCAGTACACAGCGGACTGGCGGGGACTAGGGCAGCGCCGGGCTATAGACGCAGACGCCGACGAAGCGCACCCCGGGATGTCCGCATATTATTTTCCCCAAAACTAGTGCGCTCCAGCCGGCGCCTTTCCTTGGAACCCAAGGCGGGGGTATATTTCGTTGCTTTCTTTCAACTTCAGCACGATCACAGTGGCTCGGAGCCGCGGGCGGCTGACTGCGGGCCTGGCGGGCTACTCCTGGTAGGGGCCTGCGCTAGCCTAAGGTGTGTCCCCGCCTGGGTTAGCGCTGCGCTATGCGCTGTTTCTTTTCCTCTTAAAGCTTCTTTCTCACTCACTCTTTCCCTCCTTCTCTCTCTCATTTTTTCCCATTTCTGTCGTTCTTTTATTCAGCTTTCTCTCTTTATCTCCCTTTTGTGAATGGGCCGTGGTTTCTTTGTTCTGGAGAGAAGCGCCCATGTCGCTGACTTTTGTGAACCAGAGAAGGATCTTGTAAAACCTCCTTTTCTCCTTCGTACGCCCCCACTCCCACCCCTCCTCCCCTGCCCCTTTGATTAGATGTTCCCTCATCGTCAAAAAAAAAAAAAAAATGTAATTTCGTTGGTTTGGCGGCCACTTTCTTTGAACATTAGCTCGCTTTCAGCTCCAACTTCAATTAGAAGGAGTTGATTTTGAGAGATCAACAAAAGAACCGACCAAAGCCTTATTAAAGGTCCTAAGAAGATCTCCCGGGCCCTTTGAGAAGCAGTTAAGGAAACAGTGTGCCCTCCATCATATTCTGTTACCGTATTTTATTCGGACTCCAGAGGAAAGTGTCGCTTGGGGGAGGGGGAAGCACTTTGATGAGCGGCGGCCGCGGCCCCTTTTCACTCAGCGGGCTCCCCCTTCCTTCTCCTCCTTCTCGCCCAGCGCCCGGTCTGCTCTCTGCGCCCGACCCGGCCGCCCGGGCTGCGTGGGTGCTCCCCACTGCGATGCGCCTGGAGACTCCTTGACTCGCCTTCCCACTTACTCCTGTGCAAACTTTTTACTACGCCTGTCGGGGTGAGGGAGTAGGAGATTAGAAACGAGGGGTAGAAATTCCTCGAAAGGGAATAAAGTGCCTAATTTTCAGGAGGAGGTGTCATTTAAAAGATTAGCTTTGCTCAGAGTTGGGACGAAAACACTTTTTTTGCACTTTGAAAAGTCCACCCAAGTAGACGCGTTTGGGAAGTTTGTTCGGCTAGGAAATGGGCTTCGTATATACGAACAATCCGGGTAAATCGCCTCAAGGAGGCTCCTTACGCAGCATGTGGAAAAAAAGTTGAGGGCAGGGGTCTGTGGCCACATTTTCCATCAAAAAGTCCCTGTTAGAGGGAGGCTATGAAAGAGAGTGTGAAAAAGAAAGTTTCCTAGCAAAATGTTTGAATTAAGAAGTAGGGTGTTTGTGTGAGGGGAAGAGGACGCTGGGTTCCAACGTTTCAGAAGAAGCGCTTAAGACTTGCAAACACCCGTGGCGGGGACCGGGAACCCCGGGAGATGCCGACGAGCAGGTAAGTGGCGGCGCCTTTCCAGTGGGTGCTCTTCTCAGGCGCGGGAGTCCCGAGGCGCCGAAGAGACATCTGCGCACCCGGAGCTGCTCCCGCGCTCTGCAAAGTAGCCTGTGCCGGCACGAGCCGCCCGCGGCGTCTGTCTCAGGTGGCGGCGCAGAGGAAGGAAACGCTGGGGCCCGCGGCGCCGGGAGAGGGGCAGAGGCCCGGGCTCCTCTAGTCCTCCGCCCCCGAGTCCTGGCGCCCACACTCGGGCGGCTGAGCCAGGTAGTCCACGGAAGAGCGAAGGAACCGGTTCTCCAGCACCTCGCCCTCTCCCAGCCACTCCCTTCAGAGAGCCTAAAGCGCGAGAGAAGGGCCGGGGGGCCCAGGGCAGGGTTGGGGACCCGCGGCCCCCTCAGCGGCCAGGACTCTGGCTCTCCGCTCGCCTTCCTCTGCTAGTTCTGAGCCGCTTTTGCCAGCCGAGTTAGCGCGCGACCGGGGCGGGGCGGGAGGGCGGGGAAGGCGGGGTGTGGGGGGCGGGGGAGGGCGGGGGCGCGGAGGTAACCCCCGGCTCGCGCTGCCATTGCCCGGCTCCCTGTCACTCAGCCCGCGCGGGGCCCCCGATTGGCGGCCTAGCCCCGTTACGCACTCGCCTCGCGTTCACATACCCGGGGAGGGCAGTAGAAAGGTGATCAATCTTCATCAGGCTACATTTCCAATCACCTAAACAACCGAGCAAGACAAGCCACTCCGACAAGGTAAATCGCTTGATTTATTTAGTTTGCAAAGTGACTCTGCAGGACTTCCCAGTCCTCACTGCCTCCACGTTGTATCGGGAGTGCCGCGGCAACGCCGAGCCACCTCCCAACTCTGCCCCTCGAATTCCCCCCCTTGCGGCCCCTCCGCGAGATCCCCGGCCAGGCAATGTCCTGAGAACGCGTGGGGCTTAGCAAACAAAGTGTCTGTGCAATAAAGTGAAACCCTTAGGGACACGCACAAAGCCACTGGGAAAAAAGAGGTGGGAGGAAAGAAGTTGGGAAAAGAAAGAAACCGGGGGTCCTAGGCCAGCCGCAGGGGTAATTCCTGTGCCGCTCTGTTTTGCAGGTTGGCTGCCCGGCGGGTCTCTGTGAGGGATCCAGGTAGATGGTGAACGGCCCCGGCAGCTGAGGGCAGGTAAGGAGAAAGCCGCGGGGCCACCCGGGACTCCGGGAGCGCGTTGGTTACCCTTACCTCCCCCTCCTCAAATGGATCCCAGCTTCCCGGGTCCCCAGCAGGTGGGCGGGGCTGGGGGAGCGGCCTGGCTCCCCTCTGGGTGCGCGGAGGACCCCCGGGCGCTGTCGCGGCCCGCTGCCCCCTCCCCCGCCTCCTCCGAAGTAACCGAGCTGAAGTGCTAAGTTTGGAGAAAGTCTTTGAAAACTCACGCTGCAGCCTCGCAGAGCCGTCGCAGCTTTGAGTCCCATTTTCCTTTGGCCTAAGAGCCCTGGCTGCTTCCCTTCTCGTTCTCTCCCTACAAGCTGGACTCGCTGTGGCCTTGGGTCCCAGAGGACGGGGACGGGAACGGGGCTGAGGGGAGCTTCTTTAACTGCAACTGCTCTCCCTAAACGTCCTAACCCGAGTCCCTGGCCTGCTTCACAGCGATCCCGCGAAGCGGGGTGTAGCGACGGCCCTCCAGGACCCCAGGCCCCCTTTCCAGCGCCCCTCCCTGACCCTTGAGAGTGGCGCCTGGGTTCCCAGCAGCGGCGGGGGCAAGGCTTCGACCTCCCAGCTCGGGTCTGCGTGGGCTCTGCGGCTGAGGCCTAGTTCTCTGTTCTCCACCGTGTCCTGGGGCCGCGGGTTCAGCTACTAGGATGGCAGCACACGACTTGCTGCCCTCCGGCTTCGCAAATCTCGGAGACCCTTTGAGGTACTAGGCCCCAGCCTTCACCCCCCTGCTGGGACCCTGTGGTCGGAAGCCCAGACGGGGCAGAGAGAAGGCCGGGTGCGCGCTGGCAACGAAGGGCGATGGCCGCAGCTGAGGCGCTGCCGACCTCAGGCCGCTCTTGGGATCGCCCCCTCAGCAGTGGCCCCTTCAGCGTCCCCTGGCCCTCTGCGGCCTGGGCCCGTTACTGTGGTTGAGGTGTGGTGGGATTCTGCGTCAGTGATTTTTCAGTGGTTGGGCACAGAGAAGTCAGCTGGAATGGTGATTGTGGGCTCTGGGGCAGGGACGCAGCCCAGGAGACGTTAGAAGAAACCTAACTTGTGCACTAAGTGTCCTAAGTGCACAAGAGGTTGAGGTGCAGTTAGTCCTCCACATTGCCTCACCTTGGCCCTTTGTAGTCTCTACCTTTTCAAAAACACTGAAACAAAACGAAACCACTCTTCATGCTCTGGGCGCCCTGCCCCGGGCACCAAGTGAACGTTTGCTTGTGCAACATGAAGCCGGCTTCTGCCGGACTCAGAATTTTGCCTGGACTTGGGAGGCTGTACACTCTGTGTTTCCGGCTCTACCTCCCAAGCCTGGCCCGGCTTTTAACTTCTCCTCACTCTGTGGACTCCCTACCAGTGTCTTTGGCCCATTCCAAGCCTAGAGCTAAAGGACCCAGAAAACTTTACTTTTCAAAGCAAGTGTGGTTTCTGGGCTAAGTCCCTGTGGAGGCCAGTTGACCACCCTGTGCAGTTCTGTAACCTGCCTTCTCTGTGTTTCCCCGGACAAGACTTGGAAGCCAAGTGCCTCCGACTGATGGTTTCCGTGTGTATCGTGTCTCCATAGGCCAGGGCCCCAGACGCATCAGAGCCTGAAGGACTGCGCGGTGGGAGCCCTGCACCGCTCCTGGCCCCGGGCCCCCTGGATCCGTTGGGGCGCCTCCACCCAGCTGTTAGCATGATGTCTTACCTCAAACAACCCCCATACGGCATGAATGGGCTGGGCCTGGCCGGGCCTGCCATGGACCTCCTGCACCCCTCCGTGGGCTATCCCGGTGAGCACCGGCCTTCTGGCCCCTACCCCAGACTCTCAAATGATGGGGACCCTCAGACTGTTGGGTTTGAGTGCAAGCTTTGTTGCCGAGCAGGCCCAGGGAGCCGACTGCCTAATCTGTTTGCAATACAGGGCCCACTGTCGGCGCACTGGGCAGACTTGTGGGCGCATGAGGTGGCCAGGGCTGAGAAAAC